GGGGGGAGGGGGCTGGTGGTTTAGAGCCGGGGTGCTCAGAGCCAGGATTCTGGGGTGCTGGGAGCCAGGACTCCTGGGTTCTCTCCCCCGCTCAGGGAGGGGAGAGGGGGCTGGTGGGTTAGAGCCGGGGTGCTCAGAGCCAGGATTCTGGGGTGCTGGGAGCCAGGACTCCTGGGTTCTCTCCCCCGCTCAGGGAGGGGAGAGGGGGCTGGTGGGTTAGAGCCGGGGTGCTCAGAGCCAGGATTCTGGGGTGCTGGGAGCCAGGACTCCTGGGTTCTCTCCCCAGCTCTGGGAGGGGAGTGAGGTGTAGTGGTTAGAGCCAGGGGCTGGGAGCCAGGACAAACCCCAAACACCCCAATGTCCATCCGACGCGCCGGTCGTTTGCTACATGACTGAGTTCGGATCAGGCCAATATCTCGCTAATCCCGGCAGAGAATAACAGAGGGGACAAAATACTTGACCCATAAACCCAGTTAGCCTCTTATTCACTCCAGAGTCAATCCAGAGTCACTCCACCGGAGTCTATGGTCTGATCCCCCGCTCGCTCACTCCGGAGTCAATCCAGAGTCACTCCACTGGAGTCACTGGGGCCAACTCCCACTCCCTCACTCCAGAATCAATCAGGAGTCACTCCACAGGAACACTGGGACAATCACCCACCACACACACACACACTCATTCCGGCGTCAATCAGACGTTACTCCACATCTTGGTTGTAACCCCCTTGCCCTGTGTGATGCCGGGCCACCCAGTGCAAGAATAGGGGCTGGCACGGTGCATCATGCTGCCCCCTCTATGGCATATCGGCCTTCCACCTTCCACCTCCTCGCGCCCAGCTGGGCGGCCCCACGGGCCGCATCCCAAACCCGCCTGATCACGTCCTGTTCGCTAATTCACCTCTTCCTCTTCACCCCCCGGGTGCAGTGACACCCCAGTTACAGCCGTGCCAGGAAAGTGGCTGGTCTGGCCCAGCCAGCCGCCAGGCCCACAGTAATTAGCCGACAAATTTCATGCTTCCTCAGCCAGGCGCGTGGGGATAACGCGTCTCCCGTGACCGAGGGAGGCTGGCCGGGCACGTGGCGGCTTCAATTTCCAGAGACAGGCAGGTGGGGCTGTGTGCCTCAGTTTCCCCACCTCTTTGGCTAGTTTTTGGGGCAGTGCCCGTTGCTCGCTGGGAGTCTGTGCAGGACCTGGCGCAATGTGGGGGACCCAGATCTGGTTGGGTGCACTTGCAGTTTCCATAAGACTGTGATTATTTCGCAGGGCTGGGAGGGGAGAGCAGTGGGGCTGTGGGTCAGGAGTGAGGGGCACCGGCAGAACTGGGGGGAAGCCCCCTTTCCGGGTTACAATCCCAGCCGCTGGCACCGGGTTGAGTAATCCTGGGAAAACCGGTTCCTGGGATTATGCAAATCCTGGTGGAAGCTGGCACGGTGCCCGCGGCTGGGAAATCAGGCCAGGACCCAACCCCCGGCACGCACCTCTCTACCCAGCCCCCACTCCAAGCCCTGCAGAGCCGGTGCCCCCGAGAGGGGACAGGCCCCTGCCCCATTCTCTGCCCCCCAAGCCAGCCAGTCCCCGCCCTGGGGCCAGGTGGGAGCCGGGGGGGGGAGAAAGGCCTGGGTCCGTCCCCCATACCAGAGAGGAGGGGGTTAAGAGCCGGCCCTGGGGGCGGGACGCCTATAGCTTTCTGGCTGTGTGGCATGTAGGCACCTGGTGTATTTATTTACCCGCTGGGAATGACTCACGGGTTGTGGCTGGTGGGTGTGAGTCAGAAGTTGGGAAATTGGCCATGCGGCAGGGCACAGGCCGCCAGGTCATCTCCTCCTTCCCAGAAGCTATTTGCCTCAGGGGTCACACGGGCACCTAGATCCCCTCTGTAGCTCCCAGGCCCCCCGATTCACCCCGACACCCCCAGGCCCAGCCCAGACTCCAGTAAAACCAAGGCCCGCCGGCAGCGAATGGGACAGGCCAAGGTTCCTGCTGGTCTGGGGGTGTCCGAAACCTGTTGCAACCCCAAGCCAGGCAGACAACAGGAAACCCCCCTGCACCAGGTGGGGTCTGGGGTGAGGAAATCAGGCTGGTTGTAGGATGGGGGAGGGATAGCTCAGTGGTTGGAGCAGTGGCCTACTAAACGCAGGGTTGTGAGTTCAATCCTTGAGGGGCCCATGTTAGGGATCTGGGGCAAAAATCTGGGGATTGGTCCTGCTTTGAGCAGGGGGTTGGACTAGATACCTCCTGAGGTCCCTTCCAACCCTGATCTTCTATGATTCTATGACAGGGATAGTTGGGGTACATGGGTGCTGGAGAGGAAAGCGGATGTTTGGGACATAAACACACCTGATCTATCAATCGCCCACGCACAGCCCGCGGGGGGGGACACCACAAATGTACCACCACCAGGGCGGTCGGCTTGGAGACGCCATAGGCGACCACAGTCGCGGGTACACCAGCGCACAGCCAGACGAACCGGCACACTGCGCTGCCACCCGCACCATGACCGTCACCGTACCCCCGCTCGCGGGCAACAGGTAACGCACTGGAGATGGGGCCAGAGACAGCCGCACAACCACACAGCTGCCCAATGTGCCAACCCCGTGGCGAAATGCAAGCAGCCAGCCACCCCTGCTCTAGCCACTAGCCCCCACTCCCCTCCCAGAACAGGGAGAGAACCCAGAACCTGGCTCCCAACCCCCAACTCTAACCACCCATCCAGTCCCACTGTTGACAAGGGAGCCCAACTATTTGCTAACGACTCCAGCTGCTGCTGGCTCCGGCCGCCCCGGGGCTGGGACGCTGGGCTGGGCCTGCCGACTCCACTTGGATCCAGGCCAGGGCCCATCACCTGCAGGAAGAGCATATGACGCATGGTTGGACCAGCAGCTGGGGGATGACCTAATCCTACCCCCGTGGTCTCCTGCCACTCCCTCTCCTCAGCCCTTGTCCGGCGCAGGAAACCAAGGCAGCATTGAGGGCCCGCCGAGGAACGCGGCCACCTCTGGGGTGGGACGCAGCAGCCGTGTAACAGCCGCAGAGGAACAGTGCATAGGGATTGCTCACCTAGCACTGCAATGCAGCCACCTCTGGGGTGGCATGCGGCAGCTGAGTAACAGCCCCAGAACAACGCTGCCTAGGGATCGCTGGCCCGGGACCGGAATGCAGCTACTTCTGGGGCAGGGCACCACTGAGGTTTAACAGCTGCATGACACGATCGTTTAGGACAGGATGTGCAAGAACCACATTAGGAAGCTGGAATAGGCGGACGGGGCAGGGGGAGGCCGTAAGCCATGGGGTCCTGTCAGAACAACAGCCGGACCCACCGGGGGGCCCACATGCCCAGTCCTGTAAAGCACAGAGGGTCGGTCCAGGCCCTCAGCTGGACTGAAGGCTGAAGGGAGAGATCAGTCTAGTGGCTGGGGCTCTGGGTGTGGGCACCTGAGTCTATCCCCACCTTGGGCTATCACTTCCACCCTCTCGGTGCCTCAGTTTCCCCACCTAGCCTTTGCCTATTGAGATTGATCGCTCTTTTGAGGCAGGGGCTGTCTGCATCCGCGCAGCACCCAGCATGATGGGGCCCCGATCTTAGCCGGGGTCCGTGCAGCGCCTGGCACGACGGGGCCCCGATCTCGGCCGGGGTCCGTGCAGCGCCCGGCGCGACGGGGCCCTGATTTTAACCAGGACCGTTATATACGACAGTGATGCGCAGAAATAGTGACTGTGTCCTGCAGAGACAGAGGGACGCTGGTATTTCTGCGCCTGCGGCCGGGCCGTTCCGGCAAACGCACCCGGCCAGCCAGACTTGGCGGTGTTAAGTAGCCTGCACAGAGACCCCAAGCCCCGCCGGAGAGCCGGTCCCCTCAGAGGGGAATTATTTATGATTTCTCTCCAGCGGGCGCCCAGGGGCCCCAGGCCCGGCTGAGGGCTGCGCCGGGGGCACGCACAGGAGGCCAGCAGAGGCGTGAGGGGAAGCGACGGGTTTCGGACGGACGGAAACAGGCCGTTAGCTAGGGGGGAGGGGGGCGCAGAGCGGTCTGGGCTCTGCCAGGGAACCAGGGTTAGGGGATCCCCTCGGCCCGGCAGCTGGAGGCGCCGCCCTGGGGTTTCCCGAACCAAGCTCCTTCGGTCGGCTGCTCTGTGCCTCCTTTTACAGCGGGAGAAAGTGACACCGTGACAGGCCCATGGTCAGAGACGGGGACAGAACCCAGGAGTCCGGCCTCCCATCCAACCCCGAGAACCCAGGAGTCCGGCCTCCCATCCACCCTCACCCCGAGAACCCAGGAGTCCGGCCTCCCATCCACCCTCACACCGAGAACCCAGGAGTCCGGGGCTACCCCGCGCGGCGGGTCCGGGAAAGGGCGGGATTTGGGCCGCGGGCGGGCCCGCCCCCCAGGCAGGGGGCGTGGCCAGGCCGGGTATATAACCGCCGCCGGCCCGCGCGAGGAAGCCGTTAGGCGAGAGAACGAGTCCGAGCGCGCGCGTGGCCCCTTCCCCCTCTCGGGTACGGCGGCCGGCAGCGGACACGCGAGCCATGGACGCGAACACGGAGGCGGGCGCCGCCGAGTTGGAGTGCGGCATCTGCTACCTGCCCTACGACCGCCAGGCGCGCGCCCCGCGCCGTCTCGGGCCCGCGCACGGCGCCTGGCGCCGCCCCGCCCCCTGCCGCCACGCGCTCTGCACCGCCTGCCTCTGCCGCCTGGCGCGCGACCAGGGCTGGGAGAAGGTCACGTGCCCCTTCTGCCGCACCCTCACCTCGCTGCGCGTGCGCGGCAGGGGCGGGGAGGCGGGGTCGAGGTGGCGGAGCAGCAGCAGCAGGCGCCGCCTGGCCCTGCCCCCCGTAGACCCTGAGCTCTGGAAGCGGATTGGCCGGCGGGAAGGAGCGGGGGAGCAGGAGGAGGCGGCACCTGGCGATGACGTACCGGAGGAGGCGGGCCAATCGCGGCTGTGGCGGGCGCTGAAGAAGTTCTTGAGAGGAGGAGGGGGTGGCGGCAGCCGCAGTAGCGCGCGGCAGCGGCAGCCAATCAACCGTGAGTATCTCGCCTCGCGCGCTCCTTCAACTCCCTCTTCTCCCCCGCTCCCCTCCAACCGTCTCAACGGTTCGGGGGCGCGCTGCCTACCCGAGGGGCGGGGCCGCACGCGCCTGAGGAGGGCGCAGAGCCTTAGCCACGTACATCCGGGTCCTTCCCACTTGGGCCAAGGGTGGGCTCTGAGGGGAGGGAGCCTGGCGTCACTTGGCCAATGGGGGCGGGGAGAGGCGTCAAGTCAACCCCCCCTCAGCGCGTGCGCCCCACCACCCCTAGGGGTCTCTGGTGGGGGGGGCTGATGTGGGAGATGTCAAATCACTCCCTCCCCCCATCATGCCCACCCTTGGGGGGTGACGTCAGCTCACTCCCCCTCCAGCATGTGACCCCTCACCCCAGGTGGGTGATGTCATCCCCTCCTTGGTGATGTCATCTCTTATTGGAGGGGTGACATCACCCCCTGTCCTTGGCCATGGGAAGAGTAGGGTGTAGTGATTAGAGTGGGGGTGTGGGAGCAGGCTGGGAGCCAGGACTCCTGGGTTCCATCCCTAACTCTGGGAGGGAAGTGGTGTCTAGTGGGTTAGAGTGGGGGAGGGGGGCTCTCGGAGGCAAGTGGGGCAGGAGATCAGGCATCATCAGGAACCGTCCCTCCTTTCTGCTCAGTCCCCCTCTCTAACGCAGGGACAGGAAATCCTCAAGCAGCGGCATTTCATTGGTAAATATTTGCCAGGCTGGGTTGCGTGGGCCGGGAAGTGGGGTGGGTGACGTTCTCGCTTTTATGTCTCTGCCTGTACTCACGGCTCTGTGACTCTCTCCCGCAGCCTACGGTCCAGAGATGAAGGACCTTGCCCTCATGACCTGCTACATCATGTGAGGCTCCAAGGGCTAGCCCCAAGAGCTGGGGCTGGCTGTTCGTCAAAAGGCTTTGAATGCTCTTGGGAGAAACCAGAGATTCACGAGGCACCCGGGATTGATGTGATCGCCTGCGGCCTTGACTCATCACTGCTCATCTCTGTTGGAGCACGGAGACTTGACGGGGGCTGTCGGGTCGAATCAGCAGCAGATAGGCAGAGGTGTCCCTTCCTGGAGATCTCTGAACACCTGTCACCATGAGGCCTGGTGGCTGATCATTTTGGAGGCTGGCATCCCAACAGCTTGTCTGGTCCTGACATCTTCAGCCCCTGAAATGCCTACGTGTCTGGCTCTTCCACTCTCCACCTCTCTCTGCCATATAAAATGCCAGCGATGCCACTGACCTACCTACCAGCAGATACTGTAAATATCTCTGGTGGAAAGTCCTGTACAGGCAAAATCTGAGCCTCAAGTATTAACGGATTCAGACAGCAAGGTTAAGTCTGTGTACTAATGAACTAGTTAAAAATACCCCTCAAACCCATGACCTCTTTCTCTGCGACTCCCAATGAAAAGCCTATTGCTGTGGTGGTGTTGCCAAATTATCTGCCAACCCTTATCCTTTACCATTGCGCAAGTTAGCAGCCCGATCTGCAGGCAGAATTCCTGTCTGGCCCCAGTTCCGGAGTGCTGCATGTGACTATATTGCATGAGGCGAGGGTTTCAGATAAAGAGGCTGGCTTCTTGGTGCTCTCTGCTATTGTAGCATTTCTGTGAAATGAATTTAAATATTGAAGGGTTGGAAATAGAGAATGTCTGCATCTGTTGTCTTTAATATTTGACTACTGTAACTTATATTTAATTTTAATAAAACCTGAGATGTCAACGTTTATTAGGTTGCCTTGATCTCCTTTCCAGCAGGGAGGTGGTGCCTGGGGGCAGGGTCATCAGTAGACCACATTGGGAGGGAGGTCCAATAATCAGGACAGGGAGTCAGGACTCTTTCTATCCCTGGCTCTGGCTTAGGGAATGGTCTGTAGTGGTTAGAGCAGGAGGTGGTTCTCTTTTAAGCCCTGTTGCAGAGCCAGGGTCCTGCTTTAACCTGAATAGTGCATAACCTCAAATGTGAAGGGTACTCACATTGACTTGTAGCATCTCTTGCCAGGGGCTAGCAGCAGAAACAACCTCCTAGAAGAGTCATTCTAGTTACCATATGGCCTGCTCCTGCTTCTGTGTAGTTTTAAGACCGTGTGCAGCTTCTGTCCCCTTTGTAGACCCAACACTTGTATCTAGGTGGCACAAAAACGGTCTCTGACTCTCACAGCTGCCTCTGCTCTTTCTTTCCCACTCCTTGAGCCTCTCTGATTGTTCTCTGCACCTGTGTTCTGCCGAGGTGCCTCAATTTTATCCCCTATTCAGGACTTCAGGTTTTCATTTCCTACCACCGACCGCTCTTTAAAATGGGCCCTTTGAACTCCACGTGGATTTGGCTGCACCATCGCTTGAGATTAGAGCTGCATGCCATAACTACCTATCTCTACCTGGCCTAGGGGAGAGGATATGACTAAGATTTTGGTGACTAACAACTCTCATTAAGCACCAGCTGTTTCAGGCAAAATTTAATAGATTCTAAGCCCTCTGTGATCAACTAGTCTAATCTGCATAACACAGGCCAGAGAGCTTCCTTGAATTATCTCCTGTTTAAATTAGAGTAGAATCTCTTAGAAAAAACATCCAATCTTGATCACCACGGATCTCTGTTGCTTGGCCTCTCCTCCAGAAGACAACTCAATCCGTGGCAACCTGGGGTACCCCATTTCAGGGCAGGGCTATAAAGAGAACACATTAAAATTGTCAGAACTAGAATTGTGCAAATAACTTTTGTTTTCTGGCTGTTCTAAAAAATGTGGGGGGGGGATCATTTTGGGTAGAAACGAGAATTTTTGGAACTCTGGTGAACTGAACAGTGGAGGAAAAAGTCACGTCACAGAAAAGGTTGAATTTAACCCAAAATGTAACACTTTGATTTTTGTGATTTAGCAATTCAAACTTGAAGTAAAGTTTGAAACAGTCATTTAGAATCTCAACCTTTCTTTTCTTTGGCCAAAAATTTCAGCTGAAAAATTCCACCCTGTTCTTGTAGTGACGGTTTGGCATCTACAGTCACTAGCCATGCATGATCCCTGGCTAAGTTCAGCTTGACCCCCTTCTTACCAGCAGCTCCATTGACTCATGCTTCCTCTGATCTTAAAATGATCTCTTGGCATGTGACTTTCAGATCACAAAGAGGGCATTGCCTCACAGCCTACACCCTCCCGGACGTGCTCTTCTCCTTTGTCACCTAGGATGTGACACTGAGCCTCAAGTAGAGTTTCTTGGTGGCAGTAAATAAGGGGAAAATGAGGGATACCAGCCAGGCAGATTGGAACATGGCCAGTCCCTAGAGACCCCCTGTCTTGCTAATGGGCCTCTGTGGCTCTTAATTGTAGTTGCTTGCGCTTTGTGCCTGACAGGAAACAAATCTAGAGTAAAAATAAACAGAAGTGGGTGGACTTTCCTTTTTTTAAGACCGACCTAGTTTGGGGAGCTCGTGAAGTGGGTTTTTTCCATCTGTGCCCTTTCCCAAAGGAGGTGTAAGTGGGTTTAAGGCCGCAAGGGGCTGTCAGATCATCTCGTCTGACCTTCTGCAGAGCACGGACTGGTCAATTTCACCCAGATACTGCTACGTTGAGCCTGATGATTTCAGTTACACCAAAGCATGTCAGCCCTCAGGATGCTAAACTGGCTGAGAACAGAAGAGTGCCAGGTGCCAAGCCTGGGTCCCCCGCAATGGCAGGGAATTGACTAGGTGAATTCCCTGCCACCTCCGCCACCCTTCCCCACACACACACACACACAGTCCCTGCCTATTTGATCTGTGAGGAAATTCCTTCCCATCCACCCAATCTGTCGATTAATTGGACCCGCATGTGAGCAAGACATAGCAGCCAGGCATCCAGAGAGGATTCTCTGGACAAGCTCAGAGCACTGTCATGTCTCCTGTTGTGACCAATTGTTGATGTTTCAGAGGAAGGTGGGGGCAGGGAAGATTGCAAACACACAGCAGGTGGGGGAAAAAATCTGTTCTTGGCCCCTGCAGGTGACCAGCTGAAGCCCTGAAACATGAGGTTGGATTCATAGACTCCAAGACCAATTGGAACCACAAAAACCATCCAAACAGCCCACAGGAGTTGGATTAAAACATCTCTTTCACAAAGCTATCTTGTCATAAAGGCTCCAAACAAGGGAGAGTCCCTTGAAATGTCATCCTCTCTGGTATTTGCCTTCCAGCTCAAGGGAAGAAACCACTGCTTCTGTAGCTTCTCCTGGAGATTTTTCGTGCCTGGATCTGCTTGCTTCATAAGGTGACGTCATACAGAAGGGCCTCAGGCTGGTTGGCTGCATTTCACCCACGTTCCTAACAGAGAAGGCTGTTTTCTGAACAAAGTATGTAGGCTACATATTTACATGTTGGGGGGGGGGGTCTATCCTTGAAAGTAATGACTGAAAAAAATATGGGGAGTGTGGTGGATAATCAGGTGAACCATGAGCTCCCAATGCAACTCTGTGACCAAAAGGGCTAATGCAGTGCCCGGATGCGTAAACAGGAGCAGCATAAGTAGGAGCAGAGAGGTTATTTTACCTCTGTATTTGGCACGGGTGTGACTGCTGCTGGAATGCCGAGTCCAGGTCTGGTGTCCACAATTCAGGAAGGATGTTGATAAATTGGAGAAGGATCAGAGAAGAGCCATGAGAATGATTACAGGATTCAAAAACCTGCCTTAGAGTGAGTGTGTCAAGGAGCTCAATCTAGATAATTTTAAGAAAGAGAAGGACCAGGGGTGACTTGATCACAGTCTGTAAGTATGTACGTGGGGAACCAATATTTAATAATGGGTTCTTCAATCAAGTAGAGAAAGGTAGAACAACATGTTCCTATGGCTGGAAATTGAAGCGAGACAAATTCAGACTGAAATAAGGCATAAAATTTTAACAGAGCAGTTAACCATAGGAGCAACTTACCAGGGGCTGTGGTGGATTCTCTCACTGACCATTTTTTAAATCAAGATTCAGTGTGTTCTAACTTCCACTGAAATCACTGAGTTAGGAGCTTAAATACCTTTGAAGAGCTGAGCCTACATTTCACTGACTTTCAATGAGACTTAAGTTCCTGAAAAGTCGCTTCTAAGATGTTCAAAAGTGCCTTGTGCTCAGAAGCTTGGCCAGCTGTCCCCGGTTGAGAGAGAGGTGTCAGGAGGGATGGGAGTTGAGCAGAAAACAGCCTCAGCAAAGCTATTAAAATCCACCCGTGCGGCACTGTGTGACAGCCATAAAAGAGGTACGTGCATAAAAGAGCAGTGTAACTAGGTCAGATGTGGTTGGATTTCAGCTTTCCGAGGCTAAGCAGAGGGAAAGGGAGCTGCGTGCCGTCCAGAATAATTCTATCTCTTGGGTCCCTTGCCGTTCTAACATAGATGCATAGATTAGAACACCAGGAGCGACCATTGTAGTCCTATCTTGTATAATACACTGGGTGGGAAGCCCCCAGCCCAGTTTCTGGGCTATATTTATTTTGGTTTTAGATTTCAAATCCGAAAGATGCCTTTCTGACACACTGATGCACCCTAGCATAATTTATCATATAATTAAATTAAATCTGAGCAGTGTTAAAATCATTGCTTCACAGGGTCTCGGACGGCCAGCTACCTACCCCTTCATCTAGGAAGCTGTCTCTAGAGATCCTGCCCAACAAAGGTCTTTTGCAGCATGCCTGGATAGTCGCGTTATTTGGGCTATTTCAGATCATCTTGGGCGGCCTCCGAACCATGAGTAAATAAGCACAAGCAGATAGAAACGCTGTGCGTTAAAAAGCATGAAGGATGTTTCAAAGGGAGAGAAATGACATATTTAACAAACTTCTCCCAGCTGCCTAGTATCTAAGAATAGCCAGCTGTGCCTGCTCCTACCCCTTTCAACAGGGACTGCTGGGAGGGTGGCATGTAGTTGGGCCTGCAGCCCAGGACCAGAAGTGGAAGGTATTCTGATAAGGGTCATCTTTATGCCCTCTTTCCATCAACACAGCTACTCCCCAAATTTTCATGTCTAAAGGTAGACCCTCAAATCCATATTTAGGCCTCTGTAAGCAGAAGTCTATGGAAGCTACCGGCCTCTGAACACCAAACTGGTTGTCTATGGTGCTAGTTGTGCACCTGAGTGTCTGGTTTTGGGCACCCAAAATGTTGACCTTTTGCCTCGGTTTCAGATTTCCCCATCTGTAATATGGGGGTACCTGGGAGCAGCGATGCAGGTTAATTAGGAAAGCATAGGCTATGCCATACTGGATCTAGACCAGCATGTTGTCTCAGGTTCTTGTGAGGAAGGTGGAAGAACCCACTGTAGATAAAAGTGAAATAATCTGTCCCTCACATCCCCTTCTGATCCCTTTAGGAAGAGATTGGTTTAAACCTGGCAGCATGAGGAGTAAGATCTCTTACAATAGTGAATGCTAATCAACTTTGGCACTCTGGATATTCTTATCTACATGAATGTCCAATCCTTTCTTGAATCGTGTTGTGTTTCTTGGCTCAGTAGTACCTGAGCCAAGTTTTCAGCGAGTTTAGTGCTAAAGTTCTGGGGGGAGAGGGGGAGCTGCCCTGAGTGTACTCGATGCAGCAATGCTGCCTGAGTCTGCAGAGAGCCTGAGCCAATTGCTCTGAGATGGGGAACTTTCCTGTTCATATCAATTACCCCCAGAGTTTGGGGATACTTACAATTTTGGGTGGAAACGACAACATTCTGGGTTTTTTTTTCCCCATGGTTTCCAGGCAAAACCGTGAGTGCCAGTGAGAAA